GCATCACCAAGAAATACTATCGCATTCAAATTATAAGTCATGTATATTCGTTTAGTGTATCTTTTTAGGCTTGACACCGTTGTCAGTGTTTAAATTTTTCGATTTTTTTATATATTTATTTTTTTACACTCAACAGACATTTTAACTCCCTATAGGTCAAATCATTGTATCTTGCGTCAATACAGTATCACGAGATGTTGCCAAAATATATATATTTATTTGAAACATAGATAGATATATCGATCCGTTTTCGTTCACAGACCGATAGGTCTACAACCTTACCGACCGCCCCGACCGGTTTAGGGTTCTCGGATTTATTATTATGGTTTAGTTGCATATTTAATTTAGCAGGTAATTTTTCCAAGAGAATTGTGACAAATTATGAATGAACGATCGAAACGAATTTTGCCGCTGGCAGCAACAGATATAATATTTGTATTATTATGGTAAAATTGACAAATACGAGAAAAACGTTCGTCTCCAATAAAATATGTTGATGTACAGACGGTGCCAGTTAGTTTTTTTAAAATTAGTATTAATTTTTGGTTAAATTTTGTTTGTTTATGTTTAATATATTTTTTTTGTTTTAAATTAAATTTAAAATATATTGTTTATGCTACCAGTGCACTGTTCATGTTTATTTGTTTTCTATTAAAATAATAAATAACTATGTAAATGTATAATTTTTGATTTACTATAATAAAATTTGTGGAAATGTTGCTTTAAAAGTTAAAAATACTTAAAGAAAAATAAAAAAATAATAATAAAAAACTTTTTACATTAGAATAAATAACTGATACTAATTTGCTGCACCTTCTTCTTCTTCTTCTTTTGGCATCATAGCCCTGAATGGGTCTTTGCCTATCTGGCTATGTCCTTCCATTCAGATCTCTCTTGTGCCCTTCTTCTCCATTGTCTTATGTTCATTGTTTTTAGGTCGTCTTCCACGTCATCCAACCATCTCGTTCTGGGCCTTCCTTTTTTTTTGCCTTCCTATGGGCTTCCATTGTACCATTTTCTTTGTTGTTTTTGCATCGTTTTGTCTCTGCACATATCCCAGTCATGACAGTCTTTGACTTTTCACAAATCTTACAATGTCATAACCTTCATTTAACTCATTAACCTCGACGTTTCTCCTGATTCTCCATGTGCCATCTTCCTCTTGTACCGGGCCATATACTTTCCTCAGTATTTTTCTCTCGAATGTCCTGAGTTGGGCTTCAGTGGGCAATCAGTGTTCTGTAGATAGTCATTTTGGTTATTTTGTCTAATAATTTCAATGTCATCAATCTTTTATTAGCATAGTATGTACGATTCCCGCTGGAAATACGTGCATTAATTTCGCTACTTACGGAGTTCTTCTGATTGATTTCTGTGCCGAGATATGTAAAGGCATCCACTCATTCGATAGTATAGTTGTCTATTGTGATATTATTTTCATTGTCAGTTATTCTTTTGACTGTCATATATTTCGTTTTTGTTTCGTTTATTTTGAGACCTCTTTTTCTTGCATCAGGATCAATTTGTTTGAACACTTCCATTAGTCGTGGCTTATTCCTACTAATGATGGCTACATAGTCTGCATATGCAGTAATTTGTAATGATTTGGTGTTTATATGGCCGGTTATATTGGTTTTTCTGATGACTGCCTCAAGAACTAGGTTGAATAGCATGGTTGATAGGGCATCTCCCTGTCTTACTCCCATGTTGATGTTAAACAGGGAAGTCAGTTCTCCATCTACTTTGACTGCGGCTTTTGAACCCTGCAACGTCATTTTTATGAGGCTGATGTATTTCTTAGGTATACCTAGATTACAAAGGTCTTCCAGCATTCTGTCTCTTTTCACACTATCAAAAGCTTGTTTAAAGTCTATATACATATTATATAGGTCTATGTCGTATTCATAAGCTTTTTCTTGTATCGTTCTTAGTATGAATATGTTATATGTAGTGGCTCTATTTGGTCTGAATCCATTTTGATAATCACCAATTATATTTTCGGAGTATTCTCACAATCTATTGTAGATTATACCAGAAAGAATTTTGTATATTACATTTAGCAATGTAATTGGCCTATAATTCTGGCATTCTCTCTTATCTCCTTTTTTATATATTGGATGTATGAGGCCAACTGTCCATTCCTTTGGCATTTGCTCCTTCGTCCATATTAATGTTATCAGGTAATGGATTTTTTTCCAGAGTTCGGATCCTCCGTGCTTTAATAATTCTGCCGAAATTCCGTCCGTTCCTGGTGCTTTTTTGTTTTTTAGTTTATTTATTATCTGAACTACTTCTTCATAACTCGGATTTTCGATATGCAGCTCCGCCTAATATATTGTCTCGTTCTGATCATTTTCGTTGTCTGCATTTAGATTTTCTTAGAAATATTGTTTCCATGTCATTATAATTTTTTACTTCTCTGTTAGTAGTTCTCCGTCCTTTTCTTTGTATATCGTTAGTTTTGGTCTAAGTAACTGTGTGCTTTCTTTTATGGATTTATAGAATTTTCTGCTTTCGCGTCTCTTGTTATGCTTTACGATTTCTTGTACTTGCTTTTTCATAGCCTCTTTTTTCTTTCTTCTGCATATTCTAGTCGCTTGTGTTCTTTTTTCGTTATAAATCTCACCGCTATTTCTTGTGTTTCTTTGAAGTTGGTTAAGCCTAGCTTGCCTTTTTTCCTCTAGAATGCAGTTCTGCATTCATCATCATACTATTCCGCATTTCTTTGCCTTTTGGCTTTTCCGACAGTTTCCTCTGCTGACTCCGTTATAATTGTTTTTAATTGTCTTTATCCCTCCTCTGCAGTATCTTCCTCTCTAGTTCGGTTGAGTTTTATTTGGAGAGCATTTCTGTAATCTTGTCTCTTTGTTGCGCTTTTGAATCCTTCTACATTCCATTTTTTAATTTGAATAACATTAGTTATGTCTGTTGCCCATCTTTTTAAGATAAGTATATGGTCAACTTGATTTGCTTTTTCCATGTTGCTTTATGGATTTCTTTTCTCTGGAAGTTAGTACTGACAACTACGTAATTATTTGCTGCTGCGAACTGTGCCACCCTGAGTCCATTTTGACTGGTTTCAGTGTGCAAACTGTGTTTCCCAAATATATTTGCAAACGTTTCTTCTCTCCCCGGTTTAGCATTAAAATCGCCTAACGTTATAACAGCATCGTGTCTTTGGATTTTATCACATACATCCTGTAGTTCTCCGTAGAATCTTTCAACGTCTTCTTCATCAGCGTCTTCCGTCGGTGCATATACATTAACCATTGTCACGTTATGAAATTTACCTTTAAAACTTATGGTGCAAATTCTATCTGATATTGGTGTAAATGCGATAATGGCTTTTCGCAGTTTTTTGGTTACCATAAACCCGACTCCTCTTTCACCTTGTCTCATTTCATTTCCGAAGTAGTATAGTGAGAATTTATTCTTATGAATTTCTCCCTGGCTCTTCCATCTGATTTCCTGCAGTGCCAATATTTCAACCCCGTATTTTTAAAGTTCTTCTGCCATACTTATCATCGCTCCTGCCTTTAAGAAGGTTCGCACGTTCCAGGTTCCAAATTTTAAATCCATAATCATGTCCATTTTTCTGAGCTGAGTTCGTCGTTGTGAGATCCGTCCGTTTGTTTCATTAGCCATTGTATTCGCAACAATTGAGTTCTACAAGGAAGGGTTGTTAACCCTTCGCTCAACCCCCTCTTCATCGGAGGACCAAGGCTCCCTTCTTCGTCTGCCCTGACCCCACCATCCACTGGGGTTGGTTACCCAGTCTCCAGTGAGGTTGCTCAGGTTACTGGTGTGTACCAGCTTGGAGGTGAAGATAGGAATTGAGTAGGAGAGGCTAAGTGATGCCAACAGGATACGACATCATGTATTGCGCTTCACTACCCCTTTACACACCAATTTGCAGCAACTAGTTTTTCGTAAAACAGTTTTTGGAAAATTTTAATATAAATGGTGGACTACCAGTTTTTTAATAGGTAGATACTTGGAATTTGGCCCTTAAAGACTCTCATTGACCGAAAGTTTAAAATCGCAAAGGAAAATCTTCTTTTGATATCCACTGTTATATAAGAAATATGTTATATGTTTACATGAATAGTAGCTCAGCATTTGTTCACGTAAGTGTATACCACATTTATATTTATTATATTGATCAATTAACTTTCTTAAATACCAATCCTCTTCTTGATCTAGTTCTAAACCTCTGACAACGAAATTCTGAATATATCATGTATACATCTCGTTTATCTCTGCATTTGGTCACACATATTTCTTCAGGACTGTAAATACTGACCATTTCACGTTGTTTTTGACAAGTAGAGATTGTCTATTCGGTTATTTCTTAATATGGACTATGAGTAATTGTCTAGTCAAGTCAACACTATTATAGAAGTTATCAGTGGTCAATCTACGTTTATATTCACATCTAGCTTTTTTGCATGTCGAAGGCATATTATTTACATCCATTTTTTTCGAAGGCATTTTTTTTACAAATATAATACAATTTACAAAAATAATTTTATAACTCACTTTTACAGAGGTAATTAACAATAAAAACATACTAATAGAAAATATTAATTTACGATTTTCAATACTATAAGGGCACTTCAGGAACAATACGTTTTTACGTAATAATAGTTCCTGTATAAGTGAAATTCTATTTTAATGTGCTTTATTGAAGCACACTAGACATATTGCAGTTTTACCATCACATGCTCCACAGTATGTTTTAACCATTTTAACTTTTCTATCGGTCTTTCTACTAGTCATGTTTCTTCTTAAACTTTTGTAATATCTTGTACACTTTCTTCTCTTTTTATTACCTACGTCGCTTTGCCAGAGATGGTATTTTTTGGGTGTAACTGGTCGTGAGCGTTCCAACATTGCTTTATTTGCAAATGTCTTCGCGAACACCAGTCTGAACTTAATGATAGGTTGTCGCTTTTTCGCCTTTTCTATTATTTAACAACTAAGCATTGGCTACTGCGGTATTAAATATTAATTTCACTGCCACTTTCCGGTACCACTTCAGAATTTTGGATATTGGGTTCTGGTAAGAAGCAATTTGATTAATAAAATCAACACTCTTTTTCAGCTTGAAATTAATTTAATTAAAAATTAATTTTTCAGCTTAATCGAGAATAGCTTGTGGTTTTAGCACTTTTGTATAATTTTTCTTTTCACCTGAGTAAAATAAGATAAAACTATTATGTTGAAATATTGTTATAATTAAAACTGGTTCTTTGTTGACCCATTTTTTCACTTGTGAAATCAATAATGCAGGGAAATTTCTTTATAAGTAACCGGTTGCCACTTTTTTAATCAAGATTTTGGTTTTACATTTTTTGTAGTAGACCATATGCACATAAATTGATTTTTTAAACTATGATTATAATTCATCGACCAATATTCTAATAAAAAGATGTTTTTACGTCGTCCGGAATAATATAAACTGGTTCTCTTTCACAAAGCATACGAAATATGGTTTACATTCTACATTTAGAAAAATCTTTTATAATGCAAGTCTTGTTCGTTTACCTAAACTTAATTAATATACAAAACAAATAATCTATTGTTTTTATAGAAATGCAGATTCCTGTCGAATTTGTATCAGTTGGGCATGAGTCACTGGTGTCTCGTATATCAGGACCTCTTATTGCATTACAAACATAGTTCTCAATTAGCAGTGTCGTACAAATTAAAGCCGTAATACTGTTCGTAGGACCATAAGACCGTATGTTATAAATAAATATATCCCTACAAGAATTATCTTGAAAAATGGGAAAAATACAATAAAAAAAAACAATATCAAGTAGTATTTAAAAATGGCTATTCATGGGCGTACAGTTAAAAACAAAAGTTTTCAGTGTTCTATTGCTTGATTATTATTATCTGGTTGGTATTTTTTAAAAATACTAGCTAAGTATTCTAAAAATGTTGACATTTTTTTCTGGTCTAATCTTCCTCAACTAACATCATCTTTCTTAATTGGTGTATTATTTCATATTCTTATATGTATATTATATATTTCATATATTTCACATTCTACGATGCATTCCACGTTTGACGCACTGTCTTATTTAATTTTCTGTCATTCTATTTGTTACATCCTATCCCATTTACGTCACAGCGTCAAGGAGCAGTAAATGTGTGCAGTGAACGGGAGGCATATGTCTAACAGTGAATGTTGGAACTTTTTCGCGTTTATCGTATGTACAGAAGTTGACTAAAAGTAGACGTATGCAAATCATATGCTATTCGCTAAATTCTGTCACGTAATATGCCATAGACCTCTGTGGGTTATTACATTTTATTGCTGCCAGTTTACCGTGTTATTACATGCCGCCATGTTTACTTTGTCTCCACCATCGTATTATCTCCAATAAATCCTATCATTTTATACTTCATATGTCATGATTAGACCTATAGGACAGGAGATACATAATTAAGGCTCTTTTAACATAGTATATATAGGAGCAAATATATATATACCTAAGGTCCTTTTGACGTGTTGCTGTATTTGATCTACGTCGTAGCATTCTATTGGTTAAATGATATCATTTGAGGTACTGTATGTCACGATTGGACTAATAGGATCGAAGATACATAACTAGGCCCTTTCACGATTGGACTAATAGGACTGCGGATACATAACTCAGGCCCTTTTGACAGGCTGATGTATGCTGTATTTTATTTTTCTGTCTCATAGTATTTGATTGGTTAAATCCTATCATTTGAGGTACTGTACGTCACGATTGTGCCACTACAAACGAAGATACGTAAATAGTGCCCTTTTGACGTGTTGCTGTATTTGATTTCTAAGTCATTGTATTCTATTAGTTAAGTGCTATCATTTAAGGTATCGTACGTGACGATTGGACTAATAGGACCGAAGATACATAACTAAGGCCCTTTTGACATGCTACTCTATTTAATTTTTATACCTTATTGTATTTAATTAGCTAAACCCTTTCATTTGAGGTACTGCACGTCATGATTAGATTGATAGACGCGAAGATACACAACTAAGGCCCTTTTGGCATGTTGCTGTATCTGATTTTTCTATTTCATTGTTTTTGATTGGTTAAATCCTATCATTTAAGATACTGTACGTCACGATTGGACTTATAGAAACGAAGATATACAACTAAGGCCTTTTTGACATGCTGCTGTATTTTATTTTTCTGTCTTATTATATTTTATTGGTTTAATCCTATCATTTGAGGTACTGTACGTCACGACTGGACCAATTGGAGCGAAGATACAATAGGTAGGTACAATACATCATAACCCGTTACTTTTAACAAAACGTGATGCCAGAATGATTTATCGATGAAAAAAAATATATATTCTTAAATTTACTATTTCGTTGTGGGTAATATTATATTCAACAGCGATGCCAAATTTCTGATGCTAAAATGATTGATAATGAAAGTGGAATATACATTTTTATGTATATAATGACATCGAGTAAACGGTAAAACCCTGAACTAAATATATATAATATTTTCACCGTACCATCATTTTAGACTCAAATATTTTTTGGAATAAACTTATATAACTCAGTAAGGGATAAAAAGAGAAAGCCGATATTTTAAAATACCAACACGGTATCAAATCTCTAATCAGTGAGATGGTTAAAATTCTTGTAACAAGTAGAGGAAAAAAGTTATTAAGGTGTTGTAAAGTAGCGTCGATATACAGATGCTACTTTGCAAGACGATGCTAAATTGATGGTAAAAGCATAATGTATCGATGCCAAAATGATAGTAGGATGTATATATATATATATATATATATATATATATATATATATATATATATATATATATATATATATGAGTATTGAGAACTCACTTTGGAGATAATATAATTGTAACAGAGTTATCATTGTTGATATCTGTACAATACGGTAATTATTTCTCATTTTAGTAGAACTATTTAAATTTAAATTACTAACCTTAGTGTTAAGACTTAGGCTATCCTATGGACTATTCTTGGTTTATACTAATATTTCATATTTTATTTGGCCAGTGGTAGTGATTATTCGTTTGTTGAGGGGCTATTAGGTCCCATTGTATCTTTACACCATCCACTACCACTGTTATTTGGCTTTGCATTATATGTAAATTGTTTATACACATATACCTATATACATTTTTTATAAATATATTTATTGTTGCTATTTTGAGTTTTATTTCAGTTCTACTAACCAGTATATAACATAGCAAAACAAGATTATTATTTAGTATTTTTGTATTTCAGAGTATTATCTCCAGATTCATTTGTTACTTCAAAATCTCAACTATCGTTGAGTTGGCGCCCTTCTTTTCTCTTCTTATTGTTCTCTTTCCATAAATTTATTCCCAGTGACCTTCTTCAGTTGTATCACGTTTGATATTACCAGGTCTCATTTCTTTCTTGTCTCATTAGCTCATTATCTCTTGTTATTGTTGTTTATATCTTTAAAGCCACAATCCAGTGCCTTGAAGCTAGCCCGAACACTCACTTGAGATTTAGTGTCTCTTTGGCCATTTAAATTTGTTCCTCTGAGCTTAGCCCTATTTTTAGTTTTTCTTCTCATTACTTCTCTGCCAGTTCTATTGAACTTTGTCAATTCACACATTTGATTCGTTTCAATTGGCGCCCAACGTGATCAGTAGCGTAAACGCTACACATTCAAGAACGTTGTCACTGTCTTGGCCCTGTGAGCAGGGGCACCATCGTGTATAAAGAAGTCACATTCGTGAAGTTCCCAAAAGTTCAACATATATTGTTATAGAACAGTCACATATTTGCTTACCCTCACTGTAACATTCGTTGGTAAGAAATACAACCCTGCCCTTCCTTTATTTTCGCTAATAGCACCCCATACTTTCCACTATACTTTCATGATGTTTGCCGGTTTTAACTGCGAACTTTGGAGCGTATCTTTCATTGTCCAGGTGTCCAGTGCCGATACTTTTTACAAAAAGCTAATCTTTTTTTTCTTTATTGCTTTTGTACGCAAGGGCTTCTTTGCGTTCTTGGCAATCGCTCTTATTGAAACGTTCTCAAGGACATCAGGATATTTATTTTTGAGTTCCCTGGCAGTTATGGAAAGGTTTAACATTACTGGGCGCCTGATGATGTTCTCAGTCCAAGATGATGTTTTTTAGGAGCTCCAGAACCATGTTTTCTTTCCGGAATAGTCCCTGAAGGCAACGGCGCTGCCGACTGTTTCAATTAATAAATTGCTCCTCTTAAAACACAAATATCACGTGCTATTGATTGAAACCACCAATAGTGAAGTGACACTATAACGGGATTCTTAGCACGCGATATTCAATATTAAACAGATAGATTGAGCACTATAAACAATTACTCTGCAGCGAAATGGAACTTGCATACTCTCATAAGATAAGAACGACACTTTTAAGAACCTCCTTCGATGCTGGAAGTAAGGGACGCGATCAAATATCTCAAGAATATTAAATCCATAGGATCAAGGAATGACATTTCTGCCTAGCTTTTAAACACAAAATAATGAAACGAAGAATAGTGGCCCAGTGAACGTATCTACCCACTACATAAAAAAGGTGATTTATAGGAGTATAAAAATTACAGGTACCCACCCAGGACCCAAAAGTGTTTATACATAAAATAACTTACCAATTATAAACCAACCTAACATAAAACAATTAAGTAACGTCTGTGTTGGTGATTGTCGCAAATTTTCCTCTTGTCTCTCTTCTTCTGTTTGTCTCACCCTCGCTGATAAATGCAAAAGTTGTTTAACAACACCAAATATACCTACAATGTTAGAAAAAACATGTAAAACTGTAATTTAAATGTTAGTAGTATAAAGGCATGTCAGAAATAAGCGAATAAATGTCGATAAAAGCAACAGCATATACAGAGCAGAAACCAACAATGAAAGTTTGGACTTCTGATGATAAATTCAGAGGGTTGCATTCCATGTAGATTGTTCAGTATTTCTTCTTCTTTATGTGCCATATCAGGATTATTTGAAGTTGGCGATCACTATAGCAAAGGCTTAAGTCTCTTCTCTACGCCAGTTGACTCTTCTCAATACTTCATTGTTAGTCATATGAGCCGTCCAAGCAATCGATACTTGTCTATGAATCCATCTACTTCTAAAATGGGATGGTCATTATGAAGAATTGTTTTTATTTAAAATAAAAACATGGCTTTATTTACCACAATTTTGGGTTTTTTCTATGTCTATTCTAAATCGAGTTGTGAACTTGAATGGTTTATGGCTGCAAAAAAAAATTGGTTTTATTTTCTTTTATTTCCTCTGCTACTATGTAGATACGATTCAGCGGAATTTTGGACCTTTTGTTTAGTACCTCATCATCATCATCATCAGTGGCATTACAGCTCGTCATGACCCAAGCCTTCTTCAAAACAATCTTCCATTCGCCCCTGTCTCTGACAACTCCATGCTTTAACTCCGATAGATTTCAGATCATCCTCTATGTTATCTTAATACCTAAGTTTTGGTCTTTCTCTGGCTCGTCTTCCCACTGGTCCTCTTCGGTCGAAAATTTTTCTGATCGTTACATCTTCATCTCGCCTAATTACATGTCCTATCCATCGAAGGCGTGCTAATCTAATACCTTTTACAACGTCAGGTTCGCCAAAACTTCTGTATAACTCAAAGTTGTAGCGCCTACGCCACAAACCCTGTTCTTGGACTCCTCCATATATTTTCCTTAGAATTTTTCTCTCGAAACATTTAAGCAGTTCTTGGTCGTTCTGTCTAAGTGACCACGTTTCTGACGTATGTTAACACTGGCCTTATTAGTGTTTTATATATGGTAATTTTAATTTTTCCGGGTAGTTTTGGGACCATCTGTTTCCTCAAGCCATAATAGCACTTATTAGCAAGCACTATTCTTTTTTAAATTTTTTCGCTGACATTGTTGTCTTTGGTCAGCAGCGGGCCCAGGTAGACGAAGGTGTCCATACCTTCCGGTTCCAGATCTTCTTCTTAGGGTGCCTGTCTGTTCCGAACGTTGGCGATCATTCTGGCTATGATGATTTTGTTGGTTGCTATACGAAATAGCTAAAGAAAAATATTTTATAGTTCCAGATCATCAATTAATAGTCTAGGTATCTGGTTGCATGATCTAGTACAATACATACTTGGTTTTCTGTGCGTTTATTTTTAATCCCATTCTCAGTGCAGACGCCCTTAATGATTGAAATGCTTCTATTAGAGATTCTGAGGACCTAGCAATAATGTCTATGTCATCTGCATGTCCGACCACTTGTACAGATTTATTAAAGATGGTGCCATTCGTATTAATATGGCACTTTCGAATTACTTTTTCTAATGCAAGATTAAATAAGAGACAGAAGAGTCTTGAAAATTCGTTTTGGATTCTGACTACACTCTCTACGTCTGTGAGTGTAAGTTCCGTTAGTTGAACAAGATGAAGCGGCATTTGAAATTCCACCATAGCCTGTAGAAGTTTTTGTCTGTTGACTGAGTCGTATGCGGCTTTGAATTCACGAATATGTGGTGGGTGTTTGATCCGTTGTTGATTTTTTGGGTCGGAAACCGCACTGGTAGTTCCCAACTATTTGTTCAGCATAGGGGATCAATCTTCTGTACAATTCGTTGGACAATACTTTAAATGCCACGTTAAGTAGGATGATGCCTCTATAATTATCACACACCATCATATCTCCTTTTTTGCGAAGAGCATGCATTACACCTAATTTCCAGTCTGTGGGCGTTTCCTTCCGTAGCCAGATTTCGGTTACTAATTTATGCATGTGTTTAAAAAGGGTGTCACCACCATTTTTAATCAGTTCGGCAGGAAGATTGTCCAAACCAGCGGATTTGAAATGTTTGAGTTTTGAAATAGCTTCTCTAATTTCTTCTTCAGTGGGGGGCGACTCTTGAGCGTTTTCAAACACTTAGGCAAGGTCATTTCTATTTGGTCTTCTTCACGACTGTCATCAAGTAGTTCTACAAAATGATTTGCCCACCTGTTTAGTACATGTTCTTTGTCACTAATTATGGAACCATATCTTGTTTAGTACTTATGGTTGATACATTATTTTGTGTCATAATATTAAGCTAATAAATTGTATATGAATTGATAGCAAACTACCAGCTCAAAATCATAACTATTATTAGTTGGCAAATATTAGCTTAGTTCGTACAAGGTTTATTAATAAATATGCTAGATATTAGGCAAACTTTGTACCTCCTACTAATAGATAAACAGGAATGTATTCTCCTTGTGGACAATCATGCAAATATATGGATCCCATGACAATCATACATATTGGAATAACTATTGTAACACCTAATATTATTGTACAGCCCACTGAAAAACAAAAGATAATTGTAAATTATTCACCAATGATAAAATAAGACTTGTTTAAAGTTCTATAATACATTTCAGTGGCATATTATATATAAACTTAACCATAGAATCCGTAAAATAGTTTCGCATTCATTTTTCATTTTAACCATAGAAGTTTTGCAGCACCAAAAATTATGTCAATTTTGATAGTTGATTTTCCCGTGAACAGATTTCACTATTTTTTTTTACTATTTTAGCTTTATTCTTTGGTATTTACACTGTTGGGCAAATGTTTATTCAAAATTCTCTTTTGGGCTTTTACCGGGTGGAAAAAAGGAAATGGTTTTCTTGTTATAAGTGTAGGGAGGAAAATGTACAAGGATGGGTAGTCATTGAAATCACGTTGTAGTCTCATGTTCTGCGAACATTTGGTTTTATAATTTCCTTATTATTTTTAAAAATAAAGAAAATAGACGGTTTTATGTTTTAACATGTGTTTTAACTGGAACAATACTAAATTAACAATAAAAACAACAGTTAATAAAAATTTAAAAACAGAAAGAAACTCCACTCTACTTCTAATAATAGCTTCACATTGCCTAGGCATGCTAGATATTAAGCGAAGCAAGGAGGGACTGACGAAGTCTTAATTATCTACCAACAATATCCCATAAGTGTTCAATAAGGTTCTTGTCGAGAATGTGAGGGGCCAACTCAATATCTAAATATTTACTTCACTTAAATTTTCAGTAACGACACACGAAACATGTCTTGCATTATCATGTATTAAGATAAAATTATCGCCTATATAAGGTGCAAAAGGCACAAAAGTTCTGTAATGTACCTTTCCCTACTTGACGAGACACCCTGTCAAGACACCAAATGCATTCTTGTTAAAAAAATTCCATCCCAAAACATCACAGAGCCTCCATTAAACAATATCATCTCTCCAGTGGCGCACCCAGGGGGGTTTTGGGGGTCAAATCCCCCCAGGACCCTATTCTGACACTGTTATTTACAAATTTTAAGGACTTAAAATGGTGGAGGTAGCATAAAAAAATTTCGGTACCCAACCAAAACCCCCCAGAGGACAATTCTAGGTGCGCTACTGCATCTCTCTTATATTGCACTGTGCATACCATTCAACTGGTCAAGGACTGTTATTAGAAGTAGAAGGGGAACACGTGATATTAGTTTACGGCATGTTTCTTTCTGGTTTTAAAGTTTTGATAACTACTATTTTTTATTAAGTTATTCTTTTTTTTCAGTTAAAACCAATATTAAAGAAAAAACCGTTAATTTTTTAAAGATATCAGGGGCATTAAAAACCAAAATATTCACAAAACATGAGACTACAACATGATTTCGACGTATACCTATCCTTGCACTTTGTTTTCCCTACAGGGTGTCTCAAACTTAACATAAGAAAAACATTTCCTTTCTTCCACCAGGTTTAAGCCCAAAAGAGACGTTTGCTTAAACCTTTAACCAGTGTAAATACCAAAGAAAAAAACTAAAATAAAAAAAATTTGTAGAATCCGTTCATGAAAAAAATCAACCTCAAAATAAGCATAATTATTGGTGATGCAAAGCTTTTGTGGGTTATCATATTTCCTTGCCTCTGTGAATATGAAATGTTATTTCATATTCACAGGAAATTGTGACAGTATGTCTTTTCTGTAGATGTGAGTTATTCTCCAACCCTGAAATTTACATTAAGAACAAGCTGAACTAAATTTGAAATAATTTTAGTGTAAAATGTGTTCAATTTTGTAGAAAATATTTCGATAAAAGGATGGAGCCTAACGAGAACATTCATGACAAACATCGCTTGTCCAAATTTTTAGGTTGAAAACAAATAATTTATACAATGTGTATACCTCCATCAAAAGACTAAAAGTATGTTGGTTGACAACATGCTTTTATTCAGAACATTGTATATTAGAAATTAAGAATATCTAGATGTGACAGAGTATGGATGAACAGAAATGAGACTTTAGAAAATAGTGGGGATTAAGAAAACCATAATCAATAACATCACAACACAATAATTAATTATGCTGGAATGGGATTTCCGTGTAACATAATACCAATGCCTGACATGGAATGACAATCAAAAGAGAGGCGCGACCAGGAACATGAGGGAAAGCAAACTACCTCTGATATCTATAGGTAGAAAGACTCATATAGATAGAAAGATAGATTTGTTGCCTGGTTCCAACAAGGAATCCGATCCCAAAAGTATCTTGATTTCTTGGACAACTGAAGTAGATTACATTTTTTCCATTGAGCATTCCCTTTTGATTTCTCTCCCGTACATCTGTTAAGTCTAGCTTATATTTGTCAAGAGTGTCTAATAATACTCTCAGTGTACCTTTTAGGTAGAATGTCCTTACATTCTATGTTGCTAGTTTTATATCATCATTCCCTTTGCTGCATTGCAGTTGTAAGGTCCGTCCTCAGCAGATGATGTAACACAACCTTTTAAGAATGAAGGTTAGATGAAGGAAGATTAGTCTTTAAATATAGACTTAAAGTATGACCTATTTATCGGAGGACAGTTTCTTCTGCTCTAGTTAGTGCCACAATAATCCTTTTAGGTCAAGTGGAAGCTAACCTATGCTCTTATTAGCCTCAACTTTGCTCTCCACAGGGATTGATGTTACTTTACCTATTAATAAGTCAGTTCTTCTGCTCCAATCACGATGCATTTATTTTTAGCTAGAAACATTTGAGTAAACATAGTGTTAATGCCAAAACTGGACCTGTTCCGAATTCCAGACGGCAGGACGAAATGTGCGGTTAGCTCACCATGCAGAGAAAAAAGATACAGTCCACTACAAGCTATAGAAGAGCAAAGACAATCTTAAAATATATACTTGTGTATCACTATTGTTTAAAATTTTGTAATAAACGTGAAATGCTCAAAACTTGCACTAATTTATTAACATAAAAGTTATATATCTACTAAATTTTTATAGACTTTAGCTGTGTTTGTGTTACTTTTTTTTATTTTATAGAACTTTGTCAAAAACAAATTTATAACAAAGTGATTTGGCATAATTTTTTATTAACTTCAAACACTCCTCTGGAAAGTATCATTTTTAAAGTGGTTTTTTTATTCTAGAGTTGTTTTGCAACTATTTGCTTTTAATTGAATCGGACAACCACTTTGCTTTACTGGGACCCTGTTGTATGCCTTCATAAGTTCAATTATCATCTCATATCTCCCATCCCTTTTCTTTTTTCATGATTTTTATTTTCAGCATACATATAATCTGTCTACCAGGGATGTAACAACAATACCCATTTAATTTTCACAACACACTTTACTTCCCTTTTTATGCATGGACATAGTGCTGCTTAATAGCCACTCATTACTACAGTTGCTACCTAAATCTATTCATTAAATAGTTCCTTCAGTTTTGTGGTCATGATTAATATAACAGACTAAATTTTGAGGAAAATAAAGCATGGTCCTAGTTGAAACACATTTCTAAATTATAATTACAGAAGCGAATTTTAAAAGAGTCAACTAACATTCTAACATTCAATTTTGTGATTTCAGTTTTCTGTTTTTGCCAGGTTACCTACCAGTCTAAATAGTGTAAAATGTTATAGTAAACAATACAGTGAATTCAGTAATAAAAAACTAACAAAAACATATGACATTTAGATCCAATATCTAATTACTTACATGTTCCTAAAACAATTATAATAATATTCTTAAGAAAATCTAAAATCCCTTTACTTGTTTTTTGAGCTTCTCTGACTCTTCCAAATAGTGAGTCATATGAGGGAGGGGGAGCTGAAACAAAAAAAAAAACATTAAATATATTAATTACAATGTGAACATTTCTGTTGGAAACCTCAGAATATGTTCACAAAAGTCCATGCTTTGAAAAGAAGTTAGATACTAAAGCCATATTGTATCTGGTAATGATGTAAAAGCAGACACTGAGAAAGTTAAAGTTATTCCAGAATAGACAGCACCAAAACATGCCAGCAAAAAAAATGGTGTAGTGTAACAGGTCAGACCTGACCTGTGACTCATGTACTTGAATGTCCCTAGGGTGACAAGTAGATATGGGGAAAGAAATCTCGAGTTAAGGAGCATGGACAATAACTTAATAGAAAAAAAATGTTGCATATCTGGCAAATGTGGCAATCACATCTTCAATATACTGGAATATTCTATGGGTCTGTTTGAACTAAGTAATGAGGAAAGAAGAATAAAGCCAATTCTAATCAACTTTTATCATTTTATTTATTTTACTTGTCCTTGTATTAACAATTTAAAAATTGTTAATTTAAATTTTTATAATAGGTACAAACACAAATTTGTATATAATTGATATACAAAATATTTATTGTAATGCCCTGAAAGATATTTTGGGGCTAGAAATGGGTACTAATAGTAAACTAAGTCAGACAACAAGAATAATAATTTCCAAAATAGTGATTTGAAAAAACATGGAATTATAATGTAAGCATTGACTATTTCTACCATAAATTAAAGAGTAACAGAGACTAAAACACTCATGAAGGATGATTACTGTCCAGATGGGCCACACATTAAAAAAGTATCAAAACCTGGACAGGCACAGTTCCCGCTAATACCTGAAATAGAAGTAATACGAAGATATTGAAGAAAGAAAGCAGATATACAGATATATATTTGCTAAGAAATGTTCACCATACTGTTAATAAAATTGTAATTTATAAGAACATATTTGTTAATTATATTGAAAATAAATATTACCATTTGGATTTATAGCTTCTTCATATGAAGGAGGAGCTCCTTGTTCTGGAAAAGATCCAGACATATCTCCTAAGAATTTTGTTTTGAATAATATATTCCGCTTTTGACAAACTACAAACCTTACTTTATACGTGAGCTACATGAAATTCTAGTAAATATATAAAATATTTGGTAAATGTGATCTCATTATTACGTCCTTATTAAATTAATTTTTTCCTAAAATTAAAAAACTAAATAATTCTACCAGTCTTCAAAATGTCAAAGTCAACAATATTTTGACAACAACATTTGTATTTGGATTTGGTTTGTTTTTCTCTTCTTGGCATCATTTTATTTTCTGATAAATACATTATGAAAAAATTAACCAATGGTATTCGGTATATTTTGTGTTACTGCAGTATTTCAACCAATCAGGGCAAAACATAGATAAGACGTAAACTCTGCCTTTTATGTGAACAGGGCCTATGTCAAATGTCAAATAATTGATTTTTACTTCAACTTCAAAGCTGGCCCTCCCACCTCAATCGAAATCGAACAAAATGGCGGTTAGAATAATTCATGGTTAATATTTAGTGATTTTACATTTTATCACCAAGTGAAGATTGTGAATTGTACATTTAATATTTTCAGTTATAAATTGGTAAGCATATAACAGCTTTACAATATATTTAAGGATTTCTACGATAAAAATTCTGATTTTCAATTTTTCTAGACATTGAATTCACCCGGTGTTGATAAGCAGTCGTAAAAAGGTATGTTGTTTTAATGCTCATAATTATTATGTTTTAATGAACAAATTTTTGATAAATCAATTAATTCAAGGCTGCTTGTAGAATCGCACTACTATATTGGAATTGCTTTTAAGCATCTTCTATGATAATTTTTTTTTAATTTAAACATCTACATTATATTACTAATAATACAATTTAAGTACATTTCGGTTTTATTAAATTAACTACAATACTACGGTAACTATAAAGACGGGAGGATTCCAGTATAAACTTTTTAGTCTATATTTGACAAGGATATAGCAATTTTAAGACAAATTATTTTGATACAATTTCCATAAAATACTAGTAGCAATTGTTTCTAGTATTGATTTTTGGATAGAGTACACAATTTAATAGAACAACAATATTTAATATTTATATTTATTCCATTGCATAAGTGGGCTTAAAAGCAGAAAAATTTGCTTTTTTGTCCCTGTCTTCTAGGCTAAATTTGTTAATTGGGGTGATAAATTTCCTTCTGATTCCTCTACGGAATGGAACTAAATTAATATATAATTTTTCGGCATGTAAACATGCTGAAAAGTTCCTTATATTTCATATTTAAAATTGTTTTATGTAAATCCATATTCTTGAGATGCTAAAATCACAATTTGAATAAATTTTATGTTTATTTAACACTGTATATAATTTGAAAGGAGAGTAAAATAATATAATTCGAATTAATCACTACAGTAAGGTTGTTTCCACAAATAAGATGTGAAAATATTTAAAGGCCAAAACATCAAATAAATTAGTTTTAATGTTATATTGATGTATAATTCCCATTATGTATTCAATATAAAAGTAAAAAGGTCACACTAAAATTGTTTCAGAATAATAAGAAAATAACTGTGTTTATTTTCATTACTACAATTAAAATATGGCAAGCCCTTTCCTAACAAGTCATATACCTCAGATTTTCTAATTTCTTTAATCTCTTGTGTTGGCTTACAATTTCGCGTTTAATGTCAACAAAAGCTACTAAATTAAACAACACCAATTTCTTTGTGAAAGTCAAGACGATATTGTAGTTGGCACATATATTTCTTTAACCCTTTAAGGCGCAAAACTTTTTTTATGTCGTTCAAAGCTTATATTCAGTAAAACAATGCAAACAACTATAAATAGACTAATAATGTATCCTCTTGGTATTATGTTTTTTTCTTTGTCAAACAGTGAATGTCTTTGAAAATTTTACTGGTTAAAAAATCAACTGCTTGTTCAATTTGTTAAGGAAATTGTGTTGCTAAATAAAAAAACCACTTTAGACAACATTTTATTTAAAAGACAATTATTGTAAGAGACAATTATTACAAATGGAAAGATGTAAAACATTCCAAATAACGGGCAACATCACATTTTTTGCATATCATGTGAGATCGCTTTGGCTTCTTCTCTGTGCTATAGAAAGCACATTGCTGAGAGGTACCTTTTACAGGTAGATTTTCACCAAACATCGAACTTCTAACCACAAGATCAGTAGACACCTTTCATCCTTCAATCTTGTTTATTTTACGAAATGTTATTGCTACAGGACCCTTTCTACTCGAAAAATTATGTATGAACTCAATGGCAAAAAATCTGTGGTATGCCAAATGTGACATAGGCTTGAGTGAATTTCTTTTCATTCCAAGATTATATAGTATATAACTGTTTACTACTGAGGATTTAGGAGTAATATAATAGTTTCATCCACCTGGATTTCCAAGAGAGCATAGCAAGAAGACATCTTATTGAATCTGTCAAAGCCCCACATAAACCGATTGTGATCACAAACTGCTTTTGAGCATTCAATTTACCATCATCTGAGTTTATGGCTTGGTCATCAGTTATACCATCAATCCATGTGTAGATTTGATTGGGATCTAGCTCTTGTAGCTTGTCAATCCTGAGCCTGGACATTCTGAAACAGAAACTTTATTGACTATAACAAAAAATTTAATGTTGCTGTTATTACCATTGCTTTATAATTATTATTTTGTTATAGTAATCGCTATCAATATTATACAGACAATTGCCAGTTTCAAATCAACGTTGGTAGTATGGACAGGTTGAATTATTAACCACTTGTGATAGTAGTTTGTGTGTGTTTCATTTACTGATACTGACTTATTGAAAGATCGTTCCTTAGACAGAATCGTGATAACTGGCTTATTCACAAACCTGTGTGACATTAAGAAGTCAGTGATTCAGAACTGGTTGATATATCGACCAGAAATCGTTAAAGGCTTAATATATTATTAGAAACAGCTTGAAAAACCATGATTGAAGAAATTCCCAAAGTGTGATACTGTACATAATAGAAATCTTATTTAAAACAATTATGATTTAAATATTTTTGTATCAGTGGAATATATTTATTCTATTCAGTAATTCTACAATGCTTATATGAGCTTTTTAAGTCTAAAAAATCTAATTTCATGAAAAAAATGGTGTCCTTATCAGTGAAAATGTTTTAAATATAAACTTCTACTTACATATTTATATTAGTCAAATTCAAAAGGTTCTAGGCTTTTATGGTCAGTGTTTTTGATAAAAACAATGTGTTTTTTACACATTGTTTCTAATGATTTGGCAGATTGCAGAAAAAAGATCAAGAAGAAATAATCCCAGTGTGACGTTTGTATAGTTCTAATTTATTTGTCTTTATTCTAATTTATTGTCTATAATCTAATTTATTAAAACTCACGATAACTAATTACGAATTTATTAAAGTCTTTATTAATTCTAATTTATATTACAAATAATAATTTATGTTTCGTTACATTTAAATATCGCGGTTGCCGAGCTTCTTATCACTGACTGCCAAATAAAAATCTTTCATTTATATACACAACTGTTGTCATCCAGAGAATTCGGCGGACTTCTTGAATAGTCTCGTATTTTGGTGAAGGCGCTCGACTCGTTTTTCAACCTCGAGACGTGGATGACTCATTAGTGTTAGTGTCTAGAGATTTCTGGTAAACAACTGGTAGCTAAGCTCAGGTATATTTTGACCTACAAATTACGAGAATCAATAAAAAGAATTAGTCATAAAATATTTACAGTTCTATACGCCATAACATTTAAAATCGTAACATTGCCCCCCTCTTAAAAGATGGTTCCTCCTGGAACCTTGTCGGGACTGGAACTTGAACGACATGCTGATATCGGCAACTGGACCCTCTTTTACAACTTCCAGTTGTATAGAAATGACAAGGGACGGTTTTCTCTCCGCAGCAGTAACTATGCGGATTGCAACAGACTAACACCTGGACTTCGGTGTCTTTAAAGATTTCCTCCACCATGTTTCGTATAACCCTCCAATCTAATTGGCGGCACTCCAACTTTGGCATGGCTAACTTTTGCACGTTGGATTCTAGTACGTGCTCTCTCAACTGAAGTAAGGCTTCCCATACATCTCGGTAGGTAGGTTGGTCACGGGCAGTGTCTTTTGTTACCAGGTAGAAAAGGTAACGTGATGCATCTTGAAGTTTCAAGGTTTTACCAGGAGCTGGCACTTGGCATTGAAGTTCTGCAACTCGACCAAACTTCCTTCGAAAGACGGATGCCAACCCTGGTGCATCTTTGATACTGGCCGGGATGGTAAGGGCCAATGAGTAGTCATCGGGAAGCGCGAGTAGATCTTGCCTTTCTTCAGTGGTAACACCATGTCTTGCTTTACCGGTACCTCCATAGGCACCCATGAATTCCTCAAACGTGAGGTCAGACACATCTTGGACTTGGTTTACTTCCACTTCTTCATCTACGTCGTGGTCACCCTCGAAAGACGCCAACCGGTTATGGTGTACTATCATCGGCTTTCCTCTCGGAATCTTGCTTATTCGGTAAATAACATCATTGATCTTCTCCATAATGAGGTATGGACCTTCCCAAAACTGCTGCAATTTGGGAGAACAACCTTTTCGCTTTTTGGGGTTATAAAGCCAGACTTTATCGTTCTTCTTAAAACACCCCTTTTCGGCTTGTGTATCGTACCGTTTCTTCATTCGGTCACTAGCGATTTGGAGATGGGAACGGACCAACTCGTGTACATCGTCCATTCTTCTTCGTAATTCGATCACATAATCTTCACCTGCTACATCTTCTCCAGGTCGACACCCAAACTCTAGATCACAAGGTAGTCGCATCTCGCGTCCGAATAGGACTTTGGCTGGTGTCTGGCCTGTTGATTCATTAACAGCAGATCTGTAGGCCATTGTGAAGAACGGGAGATATTGGTCCCAGTCTCGCTGATGATCGGACACCATCTTTGTCAAATACTTGCCAACTGTTCTATTCATTCGTTCTACCA